AAAAAAAAAAGAAAAAAAAAAAAAAAAGACGAGGTAGGAAATTCACAGTTAGGCATTAAAACCCCAGTGCCCAGCATGGCAACATTAAGGTGGCGTCCCGCCGCTGCCTGGCTGCTGGGGTCTGTAATCCTCAGCTGTGGGTTAAAGAGCCCAGATTTTATGGCTATGGAGGTGTTGGGCTCACTACTGGCGTGCGGACGGCAGGTTCCCACAGTGGCCAATAGAGGTTGTGATGCATTTGGTAGCCAGATGGACATCCGTTCAATGGGAATGGGAATAGGGGCTGGGAGGAATGGCTTTAAATATGCCTTTAAAAGAATACTTGTCTCTCTTCCCATTTATCTCACTCTAATGAATGGCCTCGTTTGTCTCAGTGGGAATGACCGTTTTCCAGAAAAGCCCAGAATGGTTATGGAAAGTAGGAATTAAATGACTGCAGTAGATGTGTACAGATAATTGAGTTGTTGTGCAGAGTCAAACTTTAATAGGCCTAGATCACAGATAAACTCAGTCATTATTTCCCAGTACCATTTTAGACCAGTAACAGGGAGTGTTCTTGTACTTTGTCCCAGCATATGACTAGCCCAGGCAACTACAAGCTGGTGGAGTCAGCTCCATCTATCTTCAACTGTTCTTAGTCCCATGGAGGGCAGGAGAGCAGGAACTGATATCTCCAAGGTACTTCTCCATGGTTTTACTTGAAAGTAACTGATCAGGAATCCACTTTAAGAGCTAACCAGAAGAAGGAACCTCCTCACAGAATCAAAGCTTCTACATATACTGTTAACACAACATGCTTCAGCCTGAATTTTTACCTTAATCCATAACATAGGTGAACTCCAAATCCTGATGCATACTAAGTGTTGGATTTCTCAATCCAGACATATGTGTGTATACATTTATTATGGCTGCTAGGGCCATGTTCTGACAGAAAACAGAGCAGTTTATTGCTCAGACCACACCAGCACAGAATATTCCTGGGGCATCCTCTGCTTTATGCTCTTTTCCATGGCAAGTTCCTCTGCTGCATGGCAAAAAACCTCAAAGCTATCACCTACATCTACAGAGGAAAAATATTTTTGCTTCTTTGACATGTACTAAAGTTAATCTTTGCTACCTAGAGGGCCTGAAGTCACCAAAAAAGAGCCTTAGCTCCAGCAGCAACCTGCAACAGTGCTATGGTTTCAAGACTGTGAAACAGTTTTGATAATCTCACCCAAGAACTGCATAAGACTAATTTGACAAACATTTCTACACTGAAACATAAATTTAGTTGTAATGAGGCTTCATTCTGTCCCAGGACAATGTGGAAAATGTTGGAATTCCCCACCAGCACTTCCTTTCAGCAGACCAAAAGCAGGATTCTGGCTGTAAGTATTTCCATTCTGGCATCTCCTGCTAGGCAAAATCACCCCCACTGTCAGTCATAATATGCAAGGGAATGCTTGGTGATCCTCTCCTCGTCTGGGAACTCCATAGGGCAGGATGAGGACCTCATGCCATCACAGATGTTCACAGAACACCCATGTCCCTCACCAGCCATGCACTCACAGCCCTACCAACATTTTATCCCCATGAGGTGCCATGCAAAGTGCTCACTTAGCACATCATAGAGGACTAAGAAGCTCCAAGAAATCACAGTTCTAATGAGACTTGTCCTACCAATACTATCTCTTAAATCTCTGGGCACTCGAGTCAATCAGTCTAAACATACTCAAAGCCAATGCAGATACTTCCAACAAGTCTTTCCATCCAGAAGCAGCTCCAGTGCTCATCCTAATAGGCAGCTGAAAATTTCAACCTGCCTTGGGTGCCAAAGCTTGAGGTGGTCATGGTGCTTCTGCCCACAGTACCTATGCCAAAATGCAGCGCCTCTAGCTAGAGAAGAGGGTTGGGGTGATGCCAGTAAGTACCATGAAGAATCATAGGATGCCAACACATCATCCAGCTGTCTATGCTCCCACCACTCACTCAAAGTAGAGCTTGAAGCTATACTCCAGTTCACAAAAAGGCTTACAAGAGGAGAACAAGGGCCACCCAGTGAAACCTCAGTCCAGTAATGATAACAGAGATGAGTGTTACATATAAACAGTCCAGCTGCAGAGTCTGTCCAGTGTACCACCAGAGCAATTTATCCTCTGGGTGACAAACCAGCAGAAAAGGATTTTAGTGAGCTTTACAGCTGAAATCTACCATTGGGTTGTTTAAAATATTCTTCCCCAAATACCAAAAGTGACTTTGACCAAAAAGTTTGCTTTCTGAAATAACAGTTCCTTAATTTGGTTTGCACCTTAAAAATGAAGGCTAAAAACCGTTGAAAGAAATGAAAGACCCAAGACTTGCCTCTCTGTCTGCTGTTTTGGCATAACTTTTGGGTCTGGCTCTCAGTGCAGATTTTGCACCTCTCAGCATTTCCACTTTTTATGCTTGGAGCGTCAGTTCCACCTACAGTGAAACACAGTTCACTCACAAATTCTATATGCAGATCTGAAATCACACGTAGACCACATCAATCTAGGCACAGTTAAATTTTCTTTTTGGTCATTTGATCATTCATTTTGCAACATGGGGATGAGAATTTATAGATAAACTCTCCGAAGTGTTCTAGGTACTTCTATCAATGAGTCTAGTTATGTTTAAATTAGTTTCATAGAATGTTTGTAGACATCTACAAATAAAAGAGGCTTACCACAACGTCACAAACAAATCATTTGCCAATTTCATGGACAAGATTCTTTAGATTCTCTGTCATAAATAGTCTGGAAAATTTCTACATTCTTTAAAAAAAAACAAACCAAATCTGTAATCCCTTACTTCTCACCCCCAAAATAGGCAGTCAGTACCACTTCTCTTCATACCTTTGCCTACTTACTCTCTGTAGATGTCTGAACAGCAGTGCCCACGAACTTTCTTCTGCTAGCACCTGAATGGGGCACACTATTTTCCACTAGGATAGTGAGCTCTTGCATAAGAAACAAGCACTTTAAAAAAGGAGGAAGCTTCTAAATAGATTGTAAAGTTTCCGGGTATTATTATTATTTAGGTATGTTCTTGGATTTACCTAAACACATCCTCTTTTTTTCATGCAGGAATTTTGTCCAGGTGGACTTTAAGGCTAATCTGATAGAATTACAGGATCATAGGATATCCTGAGTTGGAAGGAACCTAACTCCTGACCACCCAACATCCAAATCTTATGTCTGAGAGCAGTGTCCGAACGGTCCTTGAACTCTGGCACTTGGGGCTGTAACCACAGCCCGGAGCAGCCTGTTCCATGCCCACTACTCCTCATACACCTTGCCCTCTGGACCCTTCCCCATCTTCACAGCCTTCCTATGGATGCTCTCTACTTGTCTGTAATGTGGCCTCTCTGACTGCTGGGTGTCCTGCATGTTCCTCCTGTCATCACACCACTTCATTCAGTGACAAACAGCTTGTTCAGTGACAACAGCTTGAACTTTCTTTTTAGAGGGAGGCAGAGAGAACTGAGAGCTTATCTTATAGCCTGAAAAATAATACAGCCCACCTGTGGCCTGTCATACAGTGCAAGTACTCAAAATAAAAGCCATCCTTCCCAAAACAGCAGAATCACCGCACACGAACACAGGCAAAGTGCACATCTGCATGTGGCAGGCTATGAAATGCCAGAGAGAAAACAACAGCAGCACCATGAATACAAACAAAACCTGAAGATTATTTGTACTTGGGGATTTCCTCTCAAGCTCAAAAATCATTTCTGCAGCTGGATAGCAAAGCACTAGAGGGCACCAGCAGGATAGGGCCAGACCTGCTGCTGCAGCTAGCTGCCTAGCTGGTGGTTAAACATTTCCCTTTCTTCCCTCATCCTTTTTTTCTTTTTATTTCTCCTTCTTTTTTTTTTTTTTCAACAAGAGGTTTAACTCACTCCACTAAGCCACAATCCTCTGCCCTGCAGTCACACGGGTCCTTCTGCTAAAGAGAAAAGTTGGGTGCAAAGCCCATAAATGGAGAGACTTTGCAGCACCCTGCCTTTCTGCACATAATCCAGATGCAGAGCATAAGGGGCATTTTCCTGTCTAGGAAGGAGACCCCAGCTTCTTCAGCAGGTGATGCCCGTCTTTCTTGTGCCACAAGGCTGCTCCCTCTCCCCCCAGCATCACCCATATTGCTTGCTCCCCTCTTTTCTCTGTTTAAATACCCACAGCACGGGGTACTGCTGTACTGGCAGAAGGAAGGCCGAGCTGCCCCATCCTCACAGGAAAGCTGCACTGGCTGCCAGCACCTGCCCCCACTCCCCAGCACCTCAAACATCCACCTTCAGGGACCGGCAGTGAGTTTATGCACTCGCTGCTGGGCCTTCGCTGAGCAGAGACTGCCAATTGTGCTGCACTGTACTTAATTATGTAGTAGTTTTATGAGGTGGACTGCAGCACACAGGGGACCAACGTGAGACTACCAGATTTATTGCACTTTAACTTTGAGCTGACAGTATAACAGGCTCTAAGAGGTAAGTACTCAGTGCTTTTATTCACTGATCTTTTGCCCTCTCCCTGCGTTTTCATACAAGGCTTTGGAGCCTGTCTGGGACTACAGGGAGAACCTGGAACAGTGAATAGGAGCATTAAAAAGAGAAAGAGGAAGGCAAACAGACAGCAGGAGGGACCCAAGGAGAGGCAGCTTAGAATCATAGAATTGCTCAGGTTGGAAAAGACCTTCAAGATCATCAAGTCCAACTGAAACCTAACCATACTACCCTAACTCTAACAGCCCTCTGCTAAATCATGTTCCTGAGCACCACATTCATTAGACCCCATGGCCTTTTCTTTTGTCATGAAATGGGCATCACCAACCATTACCACCAGAAGTAAAAACACTTGTGATGCCAGTGAAGGCATTGCTGCTGGGTTGCTAGCTGAACATCAGTGTTACAATAACAGCAACATTCCTATTTCAGCAAAGTAGCAGTAGAAACTTTGGGGTTTCTGGAAACAAGAAGTCAGTGAAAAGTGGCAAAAGGGGTCAATCCAACAGGAGCTCTTCACTCTCATTCTTTGATGAAATGGACAGGTCTTAGACACATGTGCTCAGGGTCTTAAGGGGAAGAAATACTGCCTGGTTTTGGGACACGGTTGGCTATGTGCACTAGGAGGATGGAAAAACCATCACATGCTTTTTAAATTTTTTTTTTTTTTATCTACACTTGTGCGGTATTTAAAACACTGCTTTGAATCTATACAGATTTTCAGTTATTGGACCTCTTGGATTTTTAAACCTCACTGACTCTCAGCCAGACTGCCTCCGTCTGCATTGAAAGGAGCCATTCTTCTTCTTCTTCTTTTTTTTTTTTTTTCCTTCAGTGAAACTGGAGCCTTTCCCTTCCCGTAACTTTCAGCTGGCTGAGCCATTCCTAGATCTCTGCATTTTTCACTTTGCAGGCTGACCCCCAGGACTTCAGGAGCCTCATAAGAAAAGTTATGTGACACATTGGCTGCTGTGGAAAGCTGTACAGATGAAGGCTAAATGTTACGGATGGCAAAACGGCGAAATAATAAAATAAAGTACAATCTACAGCCACAAGGAAGAAGTTGGGTGCAAATGTTCAGTTAGGAATATTATAAACTGCAAAGCAGTGGGAAAACAGCACATACATTGCAAGGTTGTACAGTATAAAACAGCAAAGCACAAGTGCCATTTTTTCATTATGCTTTCTTTTTCCAGAAGGCTGATAGGAACAATGTTTAACTGTTTCAAAGTGTCTTTCAAATACAATTGTTAAGAAATAATCACATTATTAGAAAATCATTTGATCAGTGTGAAACTGTAACTTTAAACGAGTTCAAACTGACAGATATAAATTGGGATATACACTTTATAGGGCATAGCACATTTCACTTGGAAAAGTAAATATATAACATTATTGAAACAGAGTTAAAATGAATAGACTGCTGTAAAGAGCTTAAAAAAGTCCCAGGACATGCTATCAAATACAAGATCGCATAATTTGTCAAATTTTTCATGAGTCGTAACGTTTAAGAAAGTTCAGTTAAAATTGCCAGGATTCCCTGTGATTTTCAGTACTGATTCATTGCAAAAATACTATCAAAAATGAGCTCTCAGTTCATAAGTTATCGTAAATAAAGGATTCACAAAATTAGTTTTTCAGCCTGACACAGAGAATAGGTTTGACAACTGCAGAGCCCAAATGCAGAAACTTTTATTTATCTGTGTAATTTTCAAAGAGCCCTTAAATACTATTGCATCCAGAGGAAGGATAAATCTCTATACTATACTGATGCAGTAGAGGATGGAAATGCTACTGGGGTGCTACAACTCACAACTTCAAACCACTTATTCAGTAAAACATCAGTATGCCGTACAATTAACTTCACTTCTAGAATTACCTGGGGAAGGATCTTCCCTGAACTGACCATAGGAGAAAAAAATGAGGAGCTTTTAAGACTACAGAGAATAGGTGCTAAATTACTACTGTGATACATATCCTGTGATGGGTTTGCGCCTGTATCTGTCTCTCACTGTGTGTTTGTATTGTAGTTGTTAGCACAAAGGAAGCCTCACTCCTGTGGGACACCTGTCTGGTACAGAGATATAGATGTTAAACAGTAAATGTTAACTAAATGCCTTGACAGGTGATTATTCTATTTCCCAGCTCGGTTTTACACACAAAAAAAAGCATATTTAATATTCTGCTATCCTGTTTGAAAACGTTTTTCTTTTTTTTTCCTTCCTACAGATGTGCTAATTGTTTTTTAGTGTTTTGTTTTTTTTGTTTTTTTTGTGTTTTTTTTTTGAAGGTAAATACAAACTTTATAAGGTTTATAAGAAGTTGGCAAACAAAATAACCTTAATTCTTTAGAGGATTGGGATTCCTATTTTATATAATTTTGCGGATCACAGTCAGAGACACAGAAAGTCCAAAAAGGGAGAGGAGAGGAGAGGAGAGGAGAGGAGAGGAGAGGAGAGGAGAGGAGAGGAGAGGAGAGGAGAGGAGAGGAGAGGAGAGGAGAGGAGAGGAGAGGAGAGGAGAGGAGACTGTAAAAAACATTTTAACCAAAGATCATTAATGGGGCCCTTAACTGACAGTATGTAAAGAGATGAGAAAGAAGATCTTCTAAATGGCAGGAAATTCTTCAAACTTCCATTCAGTGTCTTGATATGTGAAAAAGGTTTTGCTGCACCTTATGTTGGAGATTTCTGTCATTAAGGCACATTAACATTGCCCCAGCAAGGCGAGCTCGTGTTGTGTCAGCTCTGCATACCAGCCTGCATACGTAGGATTTCACACCGTCACAACAGGAAGATTTTACTTGTCCATCAATGGCTAGGAAATGCCAGATAAGCGGACAAAGGAAAATGGCATAGCAAGATTAGGCAACTTCTTTACGAAATGGGTTTCTCATACTAGAAAGATGAACAGGACTCCAAAGAGCACTCACCCTCTCCTGTCGCAGCCAAGCATCTTTCACTGACAGCAGGCATCCCACACAGACTGGGTGAGAAGGTTTCACCCATACCCACCCACCTACCCAGGTCCCCTCCAGCAGCAGCTCCCAGTGGCCACTTGGCAGCTCTGTGACATTATCCTCTGTACCTGCCTGACTCATGTTGCTTCATATCTTCCACTTGTCCTGCTGCTCTCACTGGGACATTTGGGAGCTCTCTGGGTCTGCATCTCAGTGAGATCTTTCAGCACCAAAAAATGTAATGGGATGAATCATGCATGCACTGGATGTTTAAGGTATGTGTGTCTGTGTCTCCCTACTAATTTTTCAATCTGATTTCCAATTTCAACCAAGTCTGACAGAGGGGAAAATGATGCTGGAGCACAAAGTCCCCACAGGCTTTGCAAAAACAAGCATATAGAGGAAATTGGCAAGGCAATGGGGCAACCAGGTCTGCAACTCATAGACCTGCTTGATTCAATAACAACTCACGTCTGTGCATGACTGGTGGGCAATATGCACCCTCCTGCAGGCTCACAAATGAAATAGAGCCTGATGGCTCCTTTCCACCATTAGCACCAGCAGAGCAACACACAGAGAAATTCAGCCTCAATGCATATTTCCCTGATCTACACACAGGGATCTGTGCTTTCAAGAAGAGTTGGAAGTGCATTAGAGCTGGAACAGCAACACAGGAAAAGCAGAGTCACGCTGACATTTTTCATTCCCAGAGGCACCCTATGTTGTTCAGTGCCGGAAAACATGAAAACATCAGGTCCTGAAAAAGGGAAGGGGAATCAAGTGTGCCTGCTGTTGGAATTTGGAGAAGACCCGACACGAAACTGTCATGTACCCTTTCCTCCTGCTGCCCATATGTGGCTTGATTTGCAATGCTGTGAGATTGGCCCATCAAGAGCCCAAGTTTTGATTGCTCCTCCCTAAATCCTGCTCTCTCTGCAGTACAACCAGACTCCAGTGTTTTCCTGAAATATCAAGAACACCAGGTTTGATGGGCTTGGAAATACAAACTGTTCCTCTGAAGAATCCAGAATCTGTCCTCAGGAACTTAGTAGACATCAACAGGAAGATGAATTAGATACTCAACAGACCAAATTCTTCAAACTGAGGGTACACAGCTCCATGCAAGCACTGTATGAGCACAAATGCTCTTGGTGACACCCTCTAGCTCTGCACACACACTCATACACCCAAATATACCCACACTGGAAACTGAACACACATGTGGATTGACACTCTAATGTTCAGGGTCATGTCAAGTTAGGCTGTGCTGAGAGGTTCCTCTTTTCTCAGGGCTGTTCTAACAATCACCACTTTCTAGAATCTTGTTTCTACTGACATCAATCCACGCTCCTTGAGGAGATGTCTACTGTTTCTCTCCCAGGGAAACGTAAATCTTCACAAAGCAACCACTGGCAAGGTACTTCCACACATGCAAGCCAACTCAACCCTATATTTTTGAACAATGCCTATTTTTGAGAAGGAAGCAGCTATTATTTCAGACAGTCTTTCTGTAATGAAGCCTAGATCATGTGAGTATTCATTTTCTTACACAGCTGTGGAGAAGCAATCATGCCTGAGCCATAAGACCATCCTGTGTACTTGCTCTGTAAATACCCAGCTTCACATCTGTCTAGCTTATTGCATATGCAAACCAAGACATTTTTGCACAAAACCACAATGGGAAAGAGGTAACTATCCTCAAAATTGTATACATCTTTTTCTTCCTAAAAACTCACCAAAGAGTCTTCCTACCTCTTGGGCAATGTTTCTGCGATTATGTGCAAAAACACGTACCCATTATATGACTATAGGAAACACGACTGCAGTGCGCCAATGCCATAGGAAAAGCCTGTCTCTGTGTGTTCACCTTAAAATCTGAATTCTCCATGTCTTTCCTAAACAGGGGTCCATAATCACAGTCCTGGTTGCACAAATAAGACAAATATCTGAGATACAGAGATTCAAGCAGGTCTGACATTTCACCAAGCAGGAGGCAGCAGTGACCTACACACCCCAGCTGATGCATTTCACAAGAAACTGCAAGTCGCTTCAGCAAAATATGACTCCTTTGATACCTTCCTGTTTAATTTAATGCAGACTTTTAATATCCAAAGAGACCCACTGCTTTGAAATGAGGAAACTCGGTCAAAGACTTCGGCAGTCAGCCCACAGCTGGCAAGCACAGCTCAGGGGCCTAAAATACAACTGCTCACTAGACTTGTGTTTGGAGACAATGGAGCTTTCAAAATTAAGGCTTGTATATGCAGGCAAATTTATCAGCCTAATTATACTGGCATAATTAGGACGATAAATTTCCCTGTGTAGACAAGTCCTGAATCTCTCAAGCTCATAACTGGGCAGGTATTTCAGAGAGAGAGGGAAAAAGGGGGAAAAAGCCACTTTTGGAATATCCAAGTAATAAATTCTCTCTCTCTCTCTTTCATATTTTCCCCCAAGATTCTTTTTTTCATCCAAATGAACAGTATATTTCATTTTCAAACTGAGATCTGGAAGAACCATTGGTACATGTGTTTTTTAGACAAATTAGAAACAACAAATACAAATATGCCTTGAATCTGCACTGGTCAGTCTCTTGATCCAGAAAAACCCAAACACACTGGCAGAGCCCAGTAGGCAGACCACTCTCCATTCTACTTTGAAGAACACAATGAAGCAGGTTACCCACTATTTACAACGGTGCATCTAATGTGAGACTCTCAGACACTCCTGTCTGTGCAAAAGCCTCAGAAGAAGCCTGCACTGTTCAGAATAGTGGTCCAGGCACGCCAGGAACGATGCTATTGTTAACGCTCTTCCTTTCCATGCCTCCCTTGCCAATCTTTCCACATAAGAGCATCACATAACTCCCCTGTGAAGCTGCCAATCCCACAATATAGACCAAGTCTAATTTGGAAAAAGTGCAAGATATCTAACCAGTGCTCTCTGGTTTGTGTGTGCATAGGAAGTCTCATCCCAGGCACCTCATGCGCTTCACTCTACTTCACCATCTTGGAGCTGCC